TTTAAAATTAATTATAATCTTAATTGTATTATAATTGTGATTGTAATTTTAATGTTAATTAATGTTAATTAAACAGTAAACATCGTTTATTTCTTTTATATAACGTTTACTTATTATATTTTGAGTTTAGCAGCGCGCCAAGTGTTTTTACATAAATAATTTTATTATTTTAATAAAATTTTCTCATTTTCTGATGCTTCGTCTTTAATTTTTTGAGATTAATTGTTGTATTCCATTGCAAATATAAAAGACCCTTGAATAGAAAAATAAAAGTACTTATCACTTTGTCTCGTTAATTAAATGTTATATTTTGTAATAAAATTTATGTTAATCATTCAGTATATCGACTCGTGTATATAAATTCCGTGAAAGTGTAAGCCAACTCAAGTCTACCACCAGGTGATATTCGTGTAATCAAATCTTTATTGTATTTACAATCATTATACGTTTCGATCCTTGGATTGGATCCTTTTCAATATCGTTTCCTTATTATTAATTAAACATCACTGTGTTTCCAAATACACTAATCAAACAATACAATACTGTTGTACATTAATCATTATAAATAATAAAAAACTTTTTACATTTTAAATATCCACTTACATGACATATTATAATATAACGATCCTCGTATTACTTATTATGTCGCTCATCAACAAGTAAATGACCCGTAGCGTGTATCTTATTATATGTATATATGTTATCTCTAAGTATATGTTCGCAAACAAACAAACTCACAAGATAGGAAACTCTTATTATTTTAACAAACATTCATACGCCGAATTCAGTCTTTCCGTGTCCGTTTGTAGATTCAAACTGTTCTTTTGTCTTTTAATATGAATCATCTCCGATGTAAGTCTCTTGTTTAAAATTCTTTCTTCATCCAATATCTCTATTCCATTCCAGTCAAATTCATGTGAAAATTCCAATCTATGTAATCGTCCCGAATCGTGTTTCCTTATTGTAAAGCATAACTTATGTCCATCAAACAATCCGCATAAAAAAATTTTTTTCTCCTTTTACCTGCAGTACACGTATTGTTGTCGAGACGTGTGTTTTTGGTGGATAATCACGATCTTGTCGGATTGTGTTCCTGTTTTGAATCTTCGAAATCGTTAAATCTTTTATGTTCGGAAGCAATTGTACAAAGAACCAGGTAATTGTTTGTCCAATTGTTGAGAAAAGGAGAAAAAAATTTTTTTATGCGGATTGTTTGATGGACATAAGTTATGCTTTACAATAAGGAAACACGATTCGGGACGATTCTGATAGTCCATTATAGTAGAACAATAGTAGTAATCATTCTGTGACTAAGAATATGACGGGACAACAAATATATGATGCTGGTCTGGATAAGTGAAACATTGTATAATCTTATAATTTTATAATGACTAATTGTATGAAGTTGCGAAACATCACATAATGACGCTAGGATGTTTATACGTATTTAAATTCTATTAATATTGATAATGATCTGATGAACAGATCGAAACGTTTATGATATCTGACTATATATAATTCATTTTAAATAATTGATATCGCTAATAATATCTTGCGCACGTGGAAGAAGCCATTTGTATTGTATTTTTGGTCAAATAATAAGGAAACGATATTGAAAAGGATCCAATCCAAGGATTGAAACGTATAATGATTGTAAATACAATAAAGATTTGATTACACGAATATCACCTGGTGGTAGACTTGAGTTGGCTTACACTTTCACGGAAAATTTATGTTCTTTTCGCAATTTACAAAATACAATAGTATATCAATTTAAACAGACCCAATTCATAAAATGCAATAAAAATATACGTAAACATACAAGGGCAATTTGAGTCCTCAGCTGATGTAGGTGCCAACGATTAAATAAAGTTCCACTTAATCGTAAATATCGAATCTTCTTTATTTGAACGTTTCGACTCTGTTTCGAGTCATCCTCAGCAATACAATAATTTGATCAAATGAGTCAACTGTTGACGTGAGTCACTTATAGGTACCAAGCTAGAGTGGATCCTGATTATAATTACAAAAAAATTACAAAAATTAATTCACAGAATTAATAGATGCACAAAATAGAGTAACTCACCTCAACAAGAAAACTCAGGTTTATTTCATGAGCTTTGGAATCATTTTATTATTATTAATCCAATTATCAACGCTAATATCTCGCAAAAATCTAATAAGTCTATATTTATCCTTCAAAAGTTGCTAAACGATTAAAATTTCAAAATGTAAACCTTTATACATCAAGAACTAAACAAAACATTAAAGTCAAGAAACATCAATACTAATATTCATAAGAAGAGGTCATGAATTGTGCGAAGCAAGACGTGAAAACTACTTTAAAATACATATATTCAATTTAATTGGTCAATTCATTTAGCATTGTCGTATAAGTATGATGTAACCCATCGGTATCAGATCTTAAATTTAAACCATTTTTTTGCATAAGAATGTGCGCTTTTTCAGAAATTAGCCTTTTGCTTAGATTTCTTTCCTTATCCAAAATTTGGATATTCTCCCAATCAAATTCATGATTCACCTCTAATCTGTGATTAGTAATGACAGACTGAGTATTTGTTTTCCAGTTAATGGAGTTACGATGTTCGTTAATTCTGGTATTCAGTTTCCTCCCAGTCTGTCCTACATACGTTGCATCACAATCTCTACATTTAATTTTATATACTACATTTTTGTTTTGATTCCTGGGGAGAGTATCCTTCTCTGGACTTTAATAAATCTATTTAGTTTATTATTACTATAAAACGCTTCTTACAAATTCTTATAAATTCATTCGCTGTATTATTTGTATAAGGAATCAAAAACCAAGAAGTTCTTTCAACATCATCATCAATGTTGTTATTCAAACTAGAATTTTGTTCAAATTGAACACGTCTTGATAACAAAAATTTTATTCTAATGGAAATATTGTCAAAAATAAACTCTATTGGGTAATCATTCCTTAGTAATGTATTAATAACAAATGTGATGTTCTTTTTATGAAATTTTTCATCAGATAACAACATAGCTCTATCAGTCATTCCAAAGACCACACCTCTTTTTTGTGATAATGGGTGTGCAGACAAAAAGTTAAGATATCGTCCCGAAAAAGTAGGTTTGTGATACCAGTCCATCTCTAATCTATCTTTATTTTTGATTAATGTCAAATCTAAAATCAAGTCTCAAAGAGAATATCATGGAAAGTTAATTACACTAATAAATTTATGAAAAAGAATCCGAACGTAATATTCACACGGGCAGATAAAGGGAATATAACGGTGGCGTTAGAGAGGGATGTTTACATGGATAAAGTGACGCAAATGTTGAGTGATGAAAATACGTATAAGAAATTAGCAAAAAATCCACTCAACAATTTGTTAAAAAAGGTACAAACATTATTAAAAGAATGGAAAATGAAAAACTATATTTCTGAATTATCTTACAAGAAATTGAGAAGTAGTGATGGCAATTTACCAATGGCATATGCTCTGCCAAAAATACATAAAGAGGGGACACCTTTTAGAATAATAATCTCATCCCTTGATAGTCCGCTGTATTCATTGGCTTCATTCTTACAAGAAGTTATATCAAAAAACATAGACAGTCCATTCAGTAAAATAGAAAACAGTGTTCAATTAATGAAGAAATTAAAAGGCACTCAAGTTAAAAAGAATTTTTCTCTGATATCATTGGATGTTGTTTCATTGTTGGATGTTGTTTCATTACTAATGTCCCGATTGAGTTGGCTATTAAGAGTATTGAAAAGAGATGGAATAAGATTAAGAACGGAATTAGTATGCCGAAGGTTGAGTTTCTAAGGGCGTTGACCTTTGTTTTGGACTCTACCTTCTTCGTATTTAATGAACAATATTACCAGCAGAAATTTGGTGCTCCCATGGGGTCACCCCTGTCTCCAATTATTGCTGATATAGTGATGCAGGATTTGGAGACGGAGGCCTTGGATATCTTGGGAGTTCCACTTCCATTTTATTTTAGATATGTGGACGATATTTTGACGGCAGTTCCAATAGATTCAATTGATCATGTCTTGACAGTGTTTAACTCGTTCCATGAGAGGTTACAGTTCACATTAGAAAATGGAGTTGACAAGATCAATTTTTTAGATTTGACATTAATCAAAAATAAAGATAGATTAGAGATGGACTGGTATCACAAACCTACTTTTTCGGGACGATATCTTAACTTTTTGTCTGCACACCCATTATCACAAAAAAGAGGTGTGGTCTTTGGAATTATTGATAGAGCTATGTTGTTATCTGATGAAAAATTTCATAAAAAGAACATCACATTTGTTATTAATACATTACTAAGGAATGATTACCCAATAGAGTTTATTTTTGACAATATTTCCATTAGAATAAAATTTTTGTTATCAAGACGTGTTCAATTTGAACAAAATTCTAGTTTGAATAACAACATTGATGATGATGTTGAAAGAACTTCTTGGTTTTTGATTCCTTATACAAATAATACAGCGAATGAATTTATAAGAATTTGTAAGAAGCGTTTTATAGTAATAATAAACTAAATAGATTTATTAAAGTCCAGAGAAGGATACTCTCCCCAGGAATCAAAACAAAAATGTAGTATATAAAATTAAATGTAGAGATTGTGATGCAACGTATGTAGGACAGACTGGGAGGAAACTGAATACCAGAATTAACGAACATCGTAACTCCATTAACTGGAAAACAAATACTCAGTCTGTCATTACTAATCACAGATTAGAGGTGAATCATGAATTTGATTGGGAGAATATCCAAATTTTGGATAAGGAAAGAAATCTAAGCAAAAGGCTAATTTCTGAAAAAGCGCACATTCTTATGCAAAAAAATGGTTTAAATTTAAGATCTGATACCGATGGGTTACATCATACTTATACGACAATGCTAAATGAATTGACCAATTAAATTGAATATATGTATTTTAAAGTAGTTTTCACGTCTTGCTTCGCACAATTCATGACCTCTTCTTATGAATATTAGTATTGATGTTTCTTGACTTTAATGTTTTGTTTAGTTCTTGATGTATAAAGGTTTACATTTTGAAATTTTAATCGTTTAGCAACTTTTGAAGGATAAATATAGACTTATTAGATTTTTGCGAGATATTAGCGTTGATAATTGGATTAATAATAATAAAATGATTCCAAAGCTCATGAAATAAACCTGAGTTTTCTTGTTGAGGTGAGTTACTCTATTTTGTGCATCTATTAATTCTGTGAATTAATTTTTGTAATTTTTTTGTAATTATAATCAGGATCCACTCTAGCTTGGTACCTATAAGTGACTCACGTCAACAGTTGACTCATTTGATCAAATTATTGTATTGCTGAGGATGACTCGAAACAGAGTCGAAACGTTCAAATAAAGAAGATTCGATATTTACGATTAAGTGGAACTTTATTTAATCGTTGGCACCTACATCAGCTGAGGACTCAAATTGTCCTTGTATGTTTACGTATATTTTTATTACAATGGTATATGTTATATGTTGCAGGGAAAATATATATTCGTTTTGCAATTGGCGCAATTTGAAAATTTTATTTCATTTTTTTAAAATCTATTCATACGCACTACTGAGGAGTAATTTATAATAAAAAATTAACATTATTACCACTTGAATTATATTATTTATGTAACGGTTTTTTTTAGTTTATGTAACAATTTTTTATGAGTGGTACATGCATACTTGGCGCCTTTTTATACTTTTTTTCAAAAGGTAATTTTGTTAAGTAAATTATACGTGGATTTATATAAATATTTTATTGTATGAATC